TGGATAATCTTTTCTATAACGTGATATTATCCGGTTAGAAAGAAAACAAACGTGATATATGTATACTATCCAAATATTTTAATTTTGATGATGCACATGAGACAAATTTGTATCAGAAGCATGGCTCAAAAAATAAACTATTACACATTATTATAAAATAATATATATTTGTAACGCATTTTTCATATTTTTTTCAATATGAAGAATGATTATAAGCAATGTTAATTTTAAAGGACTAATAGAATAAAGAAGATCTTAAATTTATATCTTTTATTGACAAAAAAAAATTACAAAACTGATAATAAGATTTGAACTTTAAATTTACTAAAAAAAAATTATTATATAGTGATACATACTTTATAGTGGCATAAAACGTGTTATTAAAAAATATTTTTATTTATATAATAAATATAATATATATTAGTATATTATTAAAAAGTGTTGATATAGGTTATAATAATATACAAAATATGTTGCTAAATCTTATTCAAAATTAATACTAAAATTGTGTGTAATTATATATCAAATAAATAGATACATACATATATTATAATTATAATAACACTTTTTGTATGTTATTATATATAATATTTCTTGTAGTATTTATGTATACTATTCCAACGTTATTACTAGGCTAATCCTAAAAGTTCTTTTTAGAGTCTCCATATATTTGACAAGTATGACATTAATTTTGTAATGAAAAAATGTTAGTAATAAAATGATGGACATTTGGATAGAATAAAAGTGGCGAACAATAGAGGTGCAAGGGAATACGATTAACCTGAGAAATTGAACTAACGCCAATTAATCTAATAAGTTTGGATACGATTTTTTAATGTTGGAGTCAAATTCAATCCAATTCAATTAAAATTTGGTACTGTATAGGTTAGATAATGGATTTTGTATTTTTTGACCTGTGACCCAACTTAATTGATCCTATCATATATAATAATTAATAATAAGTTAATGTGATTATTTGCTTAGAACAATACTCTTTATCACTCTTTTTTAATAAAGAGTATTGTATTTTTTGGTTAATAACATTATAACAATACAACATATTTATTTTAAATTTTATTTTGTATTAATGTTAGTTATTTTAATCAATAAAAATATAGCTAATCAACAAATTTATTTTGAAATTTAGTTTGTATCATTATTTACTTTATCAGTTGATAATATTACATTTGCAATAAAATATTAAATGATTTACATCTATCATAAAATATTTAAATTTTTATAATAAATAAATAAATTTAATTATGTTGACTCGATTGACTCAACTCAATCCTACTCGTTCATAATTAAGTTAGATTAAACTAAATTTTAAACAAAAAAAAAACCTCATACTTAATCTAATACAACTTATTAAATTTTGATCAAATCGAATATGAATTCATTCAAAACTTGATTCAACCTAACTCACTTAAACCCTCTTAATGAATAAGGCTATCTCATCACTAATTGTCCCCCAAAGAATAGGGATTGTTATTAATTATCTGTTATCTCGATCAATTGCAGTATTAAAATATAGTTAATTAGTGGTACTTTCTCATGTTTCAAAAACATTGAAAATATATCAAACGCCATTACTTTCTCCTTACAACCTGGTACACAACTAAGCTGAATTGTTGATTTTTTTTTCATCCAAGCTGAATTATTGATCTGAGTTCCTAAAAACAAATTATATTATTCCAACTAATATATAAATATTTATTATTATGGAGCTAGCAAATGAATGAATACATTGACATGAAGATAATTTTTTTTAATAAAATATTAAATAAGAGATGATACAGTATAACTACGTACCAAAAAAAGACTTAATGACATATTGAAGACCTTTAATCAAATATCATTATCTACTTTGTAGATAGTCGAAACCCATCAATACTTAATTTAGCACAAAACTTCACTTTAAATGAAACCCTAAATAACATTACTTGAAGACTTAGATTAATTAATAACTTTATTAATTAATAACTTTAGCTTACAAAGATTTAATTCTATCCCCTAAGATAATTTAGTCGATCGTGAGCACTATAACAAAATTGATTATTACTGATAATTATTTAGTGACAATAAATTAATTATTTTTATTTTATTATTTAATAAAAATATTAATAACTAATATATATAATGACCACTAAAAATGTATTTATATCACACCAAAATTTATTATTAGCGACAATTATTTATTTAAAAAAATTTAAGTCTCACATCGACCAGAAATAAGATAATTAAAGAGTATATAAATGGATGATAACTCTTACCTTACAAGTTTGTTTTGTAGGGTTAAGTTAAACTTATAACTTACTATTTTAAATTGGTATCAGATTACTCACCATTATCAAACTCAATAATTCCCTAAACTTAAGGGAGTGTATTGGGAAAAATCCAAATCTCATATTGACTATTGATAAAATAATTAATTAGGAGATAAGACAATTAAAAAATATAAATAAAAGATAATTCTCGTAAAAATTAAAAAAGTTTGCTGTTAAATATTTTAACGACACTGCATACAATGACTATTATGAAAATGTTACTAAAAGATTTTATAGCAATTTTTATTACCACTAAAAATCTATTTTATTGTAGTGGCAGTAACATATGCATTCAAAGTATTTTATTCAAAATCGTAATGTACTTTAATAATAAGTACTCTTTGCTCATCTCTTTTTCCACGTTTTCTACGAGTTTCTTCCGTTACCCACCTCTCACTTTAAGAGTCACGATCGATAATAAATTCAAGAATGAGACTATTATAACTCAAGTTTTAAATCACAAGCAAAAGTGTTACAACTTATAATTCTCCCGTTAAAATTTTTTTTAAAAAAAAAAATCTCCGAAAATTTGTTTTATGCTTGTCGTTAAATCGTTCCCGAGCTAGATGAGTCCTTCCTTTAAAACAACCATTTTTATTTTCTCTAAATATATTACCTGGTATTGATAAAGATTATTAAATAAAAAACCAAAACCATAAAGACCATCCGAAAAGGTTAACTGTAAACTCTACTAATGTTAGATTGTTAAAGTAAAGGCAAGAGATCGCAACAGAAAGAAAAGAAAAGAAATTAAAAAGAGAGATAGAAAAGAAACTGAACATACAAATATAATAATTAATAACCTGTATATTATAGCACAAACGCTTGCAGGACGTAGATGCCTAAACACTACAACAAAATAAATTTTTAGTAGTATTTTACAAAAAAATTTACTAGCATTTTCACAATAATCATTATATGAGTTTCGCTAAAACATTTAACGGCAATTATTTTAAATACTGATAAAAATTCTTATAATGATCGAAAAAAGTGTATAATTTTTTGAGATATTTTTTACCTTCTAGTCGATGTGAGACTTGTAAGATAATGGTTGTCTTCACTAGTGAAAAATTAGTATATTATGTCACCTATTTTACGTCGGACATATAAAAGCCCGAAGTAATAAAAACGTGGTGGCATGTTTCATAATTTTAGTTAAATTATTTACGTCGACTATGCATTGTGTCCGACGTAAATAACCCACAAGACCGGCCTTAAAAGAAGGTGTACTAGCTAGATTTCAAAAACTTAATGGTTTCCTTCTCCCGCGCAAAATCCCTCCTCAAATCCCTCCACCTCCTCCTCAAATCGTGGCTGCCCTCGCAGTCGGAGCCACTCCCCCGACGACCTCGTCCACCTTCCTCCACACCATGTGCCGCGAGTGGTCTGGCATCAACGCCCTCGGCCTCAACAAGTTCTACCTCCTCATCCGCACCTTCCTCTGGAGCTTAGGAAGGTTGGGGAAGAGGTTGATTCGTGTGATGATGTTTTTCTTCTTCGGACGGTTGCGTTGGTCATGGGCTTTTCTGGGAGGTTCTATGAGATAGTGTCTTCTGCTGAGTGTGTTCACGGGAATAGAAAAGTGATGTTTGCGTTGCATTCCGAGTTTTTGAAGCTGGAGAAGAACCCACTCCTGGGCCTATCAAGCAGAACGAGCCGTTTTGCTTGGAGAACGGGCCGTTCTCCATGCAGAACGGGCCGTTCTCCATGAAAAACAGGTTGTTCTACTTGCACAACAGGCCGTTCTCCAACCAGAACGGCCCGGTTCTGCTTGCACTCATTTTTTTAAAGCTTTTTTACGACTTTTTTACGTCAGACCTTGGCATGTCCGACGTAAATTTACCTCGGTTTTTGCAACCGACATAAATTTACGTCTCCTGCATCGACGTCGGACGTTTTTTCGACGTAAAACTCTTAAAATAACCGACGTAGAATGTATATTCTGTACTAGTGCTTCTACTTATATTCTTTAATTTCTTTATTTTTGTAATTGTCTTATCTCCTAATTAATTATTTTATCAATAATCGATGTGGGATTTGAATTTTTCCCAATACATCCCCTCAAGTTTAGGGACTATTGAGTTTGGTATTAATGGTGAGTAATCTAATACCAACTTAGAATAGTAAATTATAAGTCTAACTCAACCCTATTAAACAAACTTGTAAGATGAGAGTTAGCATTCATTTATATACTCTTTAATTATCTTATTTATAGTCGACGTGGGACTTAAGTTTTTCACAATAAATAATTGTCTTTAATAGTAAATTTTGGTGTAATACAAATACAATTTTAGTGACCATTATATATTAGTCATTAATATTTTTATTAAATAATAAAATAAAAATAATTAATTTATTATTGTTAAATAATTGTCGCTAATAATTGTTGTAGTGAAAATAAATTTTTATATTTTTTGCTTTGTTTTTCTGAAGGCGCAGCACATTTCCTTACCATATCAATAATTTGATATTTCCAAGCCCACAATATTGTTGACTTAGTCTAAAGTTTTAATTAATCTTTCTTTTCATCGACAACTCCATGCAAATCACATTGGAGTCGCATGTGTGGGGATATGCATGAACCCGCAATATGTAGAAGATCTGAAGATGACAAATCTCATCGACTATATATATATATGAAGCCCATGCGACGAACTAAAGCATCAAAGTACACTTATATTCATAGCAATAGTCTTGTATATCATTTGATAAGAGCTTCTATTCTCTCTGGTTAATTAATTTCCCCACATAAAAAAATGAAACTATTTGCGTTTTCGCTTGCATGGCCTTTTGCCCTTCTAGCTTCTTTTCTGGCTTCAGCAGCTATTGTGGAACATACATTCAAAGTAATTTGTTACTTCATTTGATTTCCTTTCTCTCTAGCTGTTCATTGATAAGTTATGCCTTTATATACTTACAAACGCAACTTATGGCGCTGATTACAGTTTTGTTTTACCCTTTTTTATCTTTAACTCGATAATCTCTTTCTGGAACGTAACTTCGAATGGAGGGGTGTTGATACTTATTGTTGCAATTTCAGGTTCAAAACACTACTATCAAACGCATGTGCAAGGAGCAAGTGATTGTCACAGTTAATGGACGTTTCCCTGGGCCAACGATGAATGTCCACGAAGGTGACACTGTAATTGTCCATGTTTTGAACGAGGGACCCTATGATATCACTATTCATTGGTAAACCCTCCTCCTTATGTATGTCCTAGAATTTAATAAAAAATCTGTTTGGATATTAAAATAGAAATGTAAGAACTTTTAAGAGTTTTTTTTTTATTATAAAAAAACTTTGATTTATATTACTATAATTTCTCTTATTACATGCGATTTTTCCTGCGAATTTTTATACGTAATTTGCAGAAAATGTTATTCTTACAAATTTTTCTACGAAATTTTATCTACAGGTAATACTTTTGTGGATAATATATTTTTGCGAATTTTTTTCGCAAGAAATTAAAAAATTCGCAAGAAAGTTTTCTGTGATTTTTTTTGCAAGAAAATCTGTATGAATATTTTTTATAAAAAAATTAAAGAAATTATTATAAATTTTATCAATAATTCTTCAATTTTCAAATGCTCACAATGAATCTATCAGAAGCATTTGTTTTCATGACTCCAACATGTGATACATAATCTTTTAAATTATAAGATTATAGATTATAAGCCTAACACTTAACCATACAAATCAAAGGTAAGTGTTGTCCCAACTTATATACTCTTTAATTGTTTTATTTTCAATCGATGTAAAACTTGAAGTTTTTTTAAAATATTAAACTAATAAATTTAAATATTTTTTTATTTTTCTTGCGAATTAAAATTGGCAAGAAAATTCACAGTATAAGTTACCTGCAAAATTTTTTCTACTATTTAGTAAATATTACTTGCAAATTTATTTTTGCAAGAAAATATGCAAGAAACAAGATAAAATTCTTACAATATTTTCTGTAAATTTTTACCATGAAAAAAAATTTCTATGATCATTAAAATTGTAGCAAAATTTTCAAAAATTTCTTGTAAATTATTTTTCATAAAAAAATTTGTAAAAAATATCTGTAAATTATTTTTCGCAAAAAATTTCTGTGAATATTTTTTTACAGAAAAATGACACTTTTCTAATGAACTCTTGTTTACTTATTCTTGACATTTGCATTATATGAGTTTCTCTTCATTTTGTGGAGTCTCGGAAATGTTTAGTTCTTAGCAGCAGGTCTACCAAGCGATAGACTAAAATATACACACATGAATGACGTAGATTCCGGAGCCGTCCAAAATTAGACTCACCCAATGAGTATTTTTGTTTTTTCCTCAACTAAAGTGGCCATGCATAGTCTCTTTCTAACAACTAGGAGATAGAGTATTACTTTTAATGACGTATGTGTTATTTTAACTGATGAGGAAATATGAAAGAGACAATAAATTAAGAATAAATGATTTTTCCGATCCCAATTAAGCAACCATCATCTTGTATTCTTTTTTTATAATTTCAAATAAAAATAAGATACGACCATTCCTTTGATAAATCACCAATTGTATGGGCATAATATTAATTCGTTGTGCTACATTAAACTACAATCAAAGTTTTCAGGCGACTTTATATTCTACCACTTTTTATTTGCATCGCTCCTAAAATTTTGTTTCATTTAAATTGATGCATCATTGTGGATAAAATTTCGAACTGTATATGTGTGTAGGCATGGAGTTTTTCAGCTCTTTAGTCCTTGGGCAGATGGTCCTGAATATGTGACTCAATGCTCAATAAAACCAAGAAGTAATTACACGCATAAATTCAACGTGACACAACAAGAAGGAACCGTGTGGTGGCACGCTCATGCATCATATTTACGCGCAACAGTTCATGGTGCATTCATCATTCAGCCTCGTTCAGGCCAATTTCCATTCAATAAACCTTATAAGCAAATTCCTATCATATTAGGTCAGTATTATAGCCTTTTCTTTTTTGTTTTTTGTTCTAGATGAAGTGCACGGGGGTACTTCTATTATTTTACATATATACTTTCTTTTAATACTTAGCAATGAAGAGCCATCCTTTGTTCTTCAAAAAGAGCTTTAGGTAGTTCGTTACATATCTTTCTGACTTTTTCCCCCTATATGCATATAAAATCTTCAATTATGATAAGATTTGTTTTTTAATTTAAATGAAGGTGATTGGTATAATTCTAATGTTGAGGATATTACGGCCGAAGCACAGATCACTGGCGGTGGACCGAAAACATCTGATGCTTTTACAATCAATGGTTTAACTAGTGATCTCTTCAATTGCACTGAAATTGGTATGTTACTTCCATAAACAAAAGTACTAATATACATCTCTAGAGAGAAAGAGATAAATCCATAGATGTTATAGATATATGTGTAGTAAGAAAAGAAATAAAGAATATTAAGATGTGTTGACAAAGTGTTTAGCAGATAACAATATATCACTTCTCTTCTATTAATTACTAAAACAATTTTTATAAACTAATATAAAAAAGAATATATTAGTTGTTAGGTATTCTCTAATTAATGTATATATTTTATTTCATAAAAATTGAATTATTAGTGTAAACATATATCTAAACTAATAGTAAGATGTAACATATATATTAATATAAAAAATAACATATTCTAATGAATAATGACTCATCATATATCTTGCTCTCTTATTCAATATTTGAACTCTTCTAAAAATTTAAGGTCTATACATGTATATGACCCCTCTTGAATTTAATGCAGAGACATATAAGATGAAAGTGAAGCAAGGAAAGACTTACATGCTCCGAATGATCAACGCTGCACTCAATTACGATCTTTTCTTCAAGATAGCAAATCACAGTTTCACAGTTGTTGCCGTGGATGCCTCATACACCGACCCCTACGTCACCGACATCGTAGTCCTTGCCCCTGGCCAGAGCGCTGACGTGTTATTCACCGCGAACCAACCCATTGGCTCCTACTACATGGTTGCCTCTCCCTACGTTGTTGGTCTCGAAGACTTCGACCAAAACATAGCTCGTGGCACAGTTATTTACGACAACGCGCCACCATCACCAAAACCCGTAATGCCAATTCTACCCCCCTTCAACGACACCGACACGGCTTTCAAATTCTACACCAACGTAACGTCCAAAGTGGGGGCCCCACACTGGGTTCCGGTCCCACGTGAGGTGGACGAACGCATGTTTGTCACCATTGGATTCAACCTAGAGTTGTGTGATTCCAAGAATGCGACCAATGCCACGTGTCAGGGCCCGCTTGGCCAGAGATTTTCTGCCAGCATGAACAATGAGTCGTTTGCGGTTCCCGCGGGTGTGAAAATGTCTATGTTGGAAGCGTTCTATAAGAATGTGAGTGGAGTGTACACTGCGGATTTCCCTGATAACCCTCCGGTTGTGTTCGACTTCACGAATCTTGATAACGCTATGAATGAGAGTCTTCTGTTTGCGCCCAAATCGATCAAGGCGAAGAAACTCAAGTTCAATTCCACGGTGGAGATGGTGTTTCAGAATACAGCACTTCTCGGGGGGCAAAACCATCCCATGCACCTTCATGGTTATAGCTTCCATGTTTTGGCTCAAGGGTTCGGGAATTTCGACCCCGCCAAGGATACACCCAAGTTTAATTTGGAGAATCCACAACTTCGCAACACGGTTGGGATTCCTATGGGAGGATGGACTGTCATCAGATTCCAAGCAAACAATCCAGGTATTTATTTCTTATTTGTTGCAACGCCACATAGTTAATTTGTCATGTTACATTTTTTTTTTTTTGTTTTTTTTGGTAATTGTTGATGTAGTTGCATTACATTTGACCCGGGTAAAAGAAAATTCAAGTGAGACTGTTGGAAGTAACTACTATATATAATACTAAATACTGATCAAGTGGACTATGGTAACACACTCTAATGTCTTCATTGCTTACAGGGGTTTGGCTTATGCATTGCCATATGGAAGATCATGTGCCATGGGGACTAGCCATGACTTTTGAGGTTGAGAATGGACCAACTCCTTCAACTTCAGTTCCTCCACCACCTGCTGATCTGCCTAAATGCTAATCAGGCCAGTTTCGAAGTGCAGATCTACATATGATCAGAAATGGATCAACACCATCTCTCTCGCATTTTAATTTCTTCAAGTTGTGTCAAAAGTTTATCTTTTTCTTTCGGTGTGTGTGTCATAAGTTTATAATAGTATTATTTAATGTTAATGTAATATTGTTATGTATACAAAAACAAAATGACGCCATTGTCATTTTGTTTTGGCCAATAAACTAAATTTTAGTGGAAATGTCAGGAATTTCAATATGCTGTAACATGGCATTCAAGTCAATAATAATAGTCAGGCCCTGTCCCGGGAATTTATGGGGGCGAACCAACAGAGAAAGACTTTTTTTTCTTCTTCTTTTAATAAATATATTTAATAAAATAAATAAATACTTATTTTTATTTGAATTGATACATTTTATTACATACAAAATATTTTTTCACTTATAAATGTTTTTAGTCCTCTTATATTATACACATTTTATGATTTTAATATTTGTAAAAAAAATATTTGATTTAATTCCTGTAAAATTGTATTTTATGATTCTACTTTCTTTCGACATTATTTACTAATGATGCGGCAATCATGTATTAGAGAAAATCAAAGAGTAAAATTTGAAAAATTAGATATTATAAGAACTTTGTCAAAAGTTTACAACTTTATAAAGATTGTAAAATAAGATTTTATAAAGACTAGGACGGACCCAAAAAAATATAGGACAATAAAATATAAAACAAGTATATATAGTATATGAAATATATATATATATATATATATATATATATAAGTCATATTTTTTTACTTATAATTAAATAAATAAAGATACAAAATATTACGTTGAATAGGTGTTTAATTTTTTTGTAGAAATTAAAGTTTTGTTAGCTTTACTTTGATAAATTGAAATTTGATAATTAATTTTTTAAAAAATAGTTAAATTGAAGTATCATTGTAAAAAAAAATGAATTTTTCCTTCACGTTAAAGTTGCTTGAATTATTTTTGGGACTCTCCTAGTCATGAGCTAGGAATCAAAAGTGATTAGCATCTCGAGAGGAAGAATTGGCAATCAAAATTAGGGTTCAATTAATTTAGGATTGGAGGAATTATGGACAATTAAAGTTATAACTCTAGGTTTTTTATATCCTTGTATCAAAATCAAAACTTTGACTCTATTGAATTTTTCTTAATTGTAATAATACATTTTCATTGAAATTTAGTTTTCTCAAACAATTAGGAATATTTGATAAATCGGTAATTGTCATTTTATTCTTTAAGATTGATATTAACATTTTCATTTTATTATTGTCCTTAAGCGTATTTGTAGCACAACAATAATAGTTGCACAATGTAAACATGCGCATATCTTTTTTTTTTTTTTTTGGTAAGCAAGGGGGCTAAAAGCCCAAGACACTAATCATTAACTTGAAAAATAGCAGAGGAATCTGCAAGTAACAAGGGAGCAATAAAGGATGGAGGGGACTCAAAAATGAGAATTTCCTCCAATAAAGGCTCACTACACTTAGATAATGAATCCGCGACTAAGTTACCTCTCTGACAATATAAGAACATGAAAAACTAGGAAGCTGAGTAGACAAATCTCTTATTTCCCAAACAAAATGACTGCAAGATGGGTCCTTGAACAACCTTCATTGAGTAGCTTCACTACTTCGTACGAATCAGATTCAACCAAAATATCTAGACCCGTGTTCCTATTCAATATTATATGAGTACCATACAATATCGATCTAAGTTCAGCTTCAATAATAGAGCAACGCCCCAGTCGTCCAGAGAAAGCAACAACAAAGTCACCACTAGAGTTTCTGACAACTCCACCACAAAAGGCCTCACCATCTCGTGTCACTGCCCCGTCACAGTTCATCTTCAGGATTCCAGTCAGAGGGCAAGCCCAACGAGGGTTCTGATGCAAGCCTCCTGCGTCTAGACCCTGGTAAGGGTACTGAAGAAAGTAGGGGCTATACAGGCTTGTATTTCCGCTACCAATTGATCAGACGTGATGACTAAACCTTGAAAAATTACTCTATTGCGCCGATGCCACAAGGAGTCTAGTGTGATTCCAAACCTGAAGTTCCAGTTTGGGTTATGGTTCTTGAGTCTTGACAAATTCTGTAATAACCAAACCTTTTAGATTTCCCCTAGGCACCTGCATCATGGTTGCTCCTCTACAGCTTTTGTTCCACACCTCTTGACCAAAAGGACAATCTCTTAGGACAAGCGTTTGTGAGTAGGCTCTCCCAAGCTACTCTCCAAAGGAACATGCAAATTCCCTCAGGCCCCTGCCATTTCCATAATTTTCTGAAAAGCGAAGACTTGGCCGGTAACACTCGTTGAGTAGCCACTTCATAGGCTGATTTGATTGTAAATGTGCCATCTGTGGTCGGGGTCCAAGTAAGTTTGTCACTGGCGGCATCTTTAGTAGGAGGAGGTTTGCTTTGGATTGCTACCAATAAGTCCACTGGGATCCATTCTTGACTATTGGATAGATCCCACGTTCCTTGCATGTTAGTGTAATCTCGCACAGGTTTAAAAAGCTCAACAGGAGGTATGGGCATTAAGGCTAGTTGAATCAGGGGAGGGGAATTTGGAATCCACTTGTCCAACCAGAATTTAATCGTGCGACCATTACCAAGTTGCCAACAAACGTTAGAAATAACTAGATTCCATGCATTATTAATACCATGCCAAAGATTAGACATATTTGGTTTCTTTGCAACCTTTGGAATAGTTTCATTTGAGCACTTGTATTTAGCTTTGAGAACCCTTACCCAGAGTTTATGGGGTTCAGTAATCATGCTCTAGCAATTCTTCATCATGAATGAGGTGTTGACATCGCGCATCCGTCTCAAACCAAGTCCATCATAGTCCTTTGGATAGCAAAGAGTCTGCCAACCCACAGCATGATACTTCCTTTGATTTTGATTAGAACCCTAAAGAAAATTACGGCAAGTTCTATCAATCTCCTCACACAACAAATGAGGAAGTTGGACTGTTTGCATTGTGAAGGAAGAGAGTGCTGCAAGCACAGACTTATTTAAAGTAAGCCTTCCCGCGAAGGAAAGGTTCTTAGCCTTCCAACCACTAAGTCTATGGTGTAATTTATCTATAATGCCCTGGTAGGAGGACCTATTGACTCGAGAGTGATGAGCCGGAATTCCTAGGTACTTCCCCAAGTCTTCTATTTGTTGGAAGCCCAAGGCTGCACAAATACTCGACCTGGTAGAGAAACTCACATTCTTTGAGAAGAAAACACGAGTCTTATCAAAACTGACTTTTTGACCTAAGCTCGCACAAAAGGAATTCAAGCAATCGTGTATTACCTCTACCTACTCCAAGGAAGCCTCCGCAAAGAATATTAAATCATCAGCAAAGGCTAGATGTGAAAGAGCAGGTCCATCATTTGAGAGTTGGATTGGCTTCCATAAGTTTTTAGCTACCTTGACATTGATAAGTTGCAGTAAACGTTCCATACACATTACAAATAAGTAAGGGGATAAAGGATCGCCCTGCCGGATCCCACGAGAAGGATTAAATTCCTCCAGAGCTTCCCCGTTCCATAGAAGACGAAGCTTGGATGTAGAAATACAGGCAAACCAAATCAATAAACTTTTGTGGTAATTCCATGTCGATGAGAGTATCCTTCACAAAACTCCACTTTAATCTATCATAAGCCTTCTCAAGATCAATTTTTATAGCCATCCATCCCTTCCTACCAGATTTAAGGCACATGGAATGAATGACTTCTTGAAATATAATGACATTCTCCTTGCTATTTTGATGCGGAATAAAGCTGCACTAGTTAGGGTGCACTAGCCTCTCCATAACCGGTCTAAGAGGTTGAGAAAGAATTTTTGTGATGATCTTATAGGATACATTACATAAACCTATCGGTCTCATATGCTTTAGGTGTGTGACATTTTCAGTTTTTGGAATTAACGCAATCAGCGTTGAATTGATGTCAAGGAGGGATTTTCTTCAATATCATGTATAAGTTTGCAAACAGCTAGGCCAACCGTTTCTCATTGTGATTGGAAAAAAATCGCTTGGAGGCCATCAGGTCCAGGGGCTTTGAGACCCTTCATCTGTTTGACTGTATGGGATATTTCGACATCACAAATTGGTCTTCCTATCTCTACTAGCTCTTCATACTCAAGATGGGGAAAAACATTAGAGAGGACGAAATCAACTGAATCCCGAGTGTCCGAAAATAAGGTTTTATAGAAATTAGTAACCATATTTTCTAGAGCATTCGGTTGAGAAATCCAATTGTTGTTATCATCCATCAACTTATCTATCTTGCTCTTCCTACGGCAGACGATCGTTGTTCCATGAAAGTAGCGCGTATTTCTGTCCCCAAGTTTTAACCATTTGAATCGTGATTTCTAGTACCAGAGTATATCTTCCCTTCTTAGGATTTGGTCTAGCTCAGACCATAGTTTCACTTGTAGCCGTTCCAGAAAAGTGTTAGGTCCTCTTAGAAGGTCTCGCGCAATTCCATTCAGTCGACGAAGTAAGCGCCGTTTGTTGAAAAAGATATTGCCAAACGTCTTTTTATTCCATTTCAACAAGGCTTTGTAGTGTGATCAATTCGGCTATTCCAATCATGACATGCTCATATCTTCTAATATTGAACGACTCAACATTAAAAGAAACGTGCATTACTTGGTAGGAAAGAAAAAATAAACTCCTAGCTAATATTTCACACAATCTTCAATAAAGAAAGAAAGTACAACTCTAGCTAGTTCACTTCAACCCCACATCATAGGTTCGTATTATCTCTGTGTATTTAAACTAAAATGTAAAAACACAAATATGAATGAAAACCCATACATGTTCCAAAATGAAAATACAACGGGGAAACTTTTTTTTAAAGTAGTTTGAGCATTATGTAGGGAA